GTAACTTTGTTCCCAGAACCGTTTCGCAGATTTGGGATTCAGATTCGAGATCAGCGTTCGAAACTACCTACGTCGGTATACATCTTAACTTAAATGGCCACTGCGACTTGGTATCCTTTCCTGGTTAGACGGAATGTTATCTACTGTTCAAGGTACGGTAGGGCCAAGGCCAGGGACTGCTTGCTCTTACGCCATTATTAAACGTAAAGAAATACCACGGAGTACCTCCGCTATGGCCTATGTATCAGTCGTGGTTCTTGAAAAAGAGGGTGTAGGTCTTTAATGGTATCTTTACAGTGAAAATAGTTTTGTCAACTTTTTTGCCAAATTCATTTATCCGCCACCTTCTTCTACCGACCAATTCTTCGTATTCTTCTTGATGTCTATCAGAATAGCTCAACATAGCACATGCCTTAGTGTCTCATCTTACATGAAAAAATGAAGAAGGAAAGAAGCAGCTCACAAACAGAATAGAGTGACCCATTTGACGGTTTCATGTTGGCTTATGTCACTTTCATGATAGAAGAAGTGAATGGTCTTGACATGGTAAACCACCTAGTCTTTCATCATCGACCAGACGGGAGAACATGTACCCACCTATACAGGCATGTATGCCCCACTGGCACCGCTCACTTACTGGTTAGAACTTAGCTCTTTGGAGATCCAAAAACATTCTTTCAGATATGAAAGTGACTCTCAAAATTTTAAGGTTACTTCAGTTTCAGTGTAAAGGTTGGTTGCATGGTTCCTTACCGCATGGCACGAATAATGTTTCTCCTGGATTCTGTCGGCATTCTATAACAGGATATTTCTCGAACGGCCAGTCCCCTTTGCAGATACGCTCATAAACTGTAGAAAACCAAGTGACAGCTTCCAAAGGATGAATGCCACGCCGATCTTTCGGGATTCGTACAAGCTCACGAGGGGCATCAGGATGAATGAAAACCCATCTGGAATAAGTTCCAGTAAATTAAATAAATTTTCTGAAAAGACTGCTTGACAAAATAAATCAACTAACCGCTTATGGCCGTGAATCAGAGCATTCCATGCACTCGTTCCGAAGGGGTCGACGTGAATGTTGGTGCCCGAGCGAGCTGGCCCAATCGTAATCCATCTAGAATTACGAGCATCATCAGTCAGTCATGATATCTCTTGAATAATAAATTACATTTCGCAGCAATTTTTTATGATGGGCACTCTATAAAAAAGTGTGGAATAAGTGACCCCCAGTATTTGAAGAGAGCTCTTTTGTAGAGAATTATCGGAAACTCAGAAACGATGAATACCCCTCGCCGGTGAACTAAGAACGGTACTCCACCGCACGCCAAAGTTACTCTTCCCGCAAAGAAAATGTTTAGTAATATTGACTGGAGTTTATAGAGGTGAAGGTTGGCAGGTGGTTCGATCACTGCCAACTCGTTGAAACCATGTATGGCGCTCGCAGCAGCTCTTCACTACAGTGCTAGATGCAGTGACGTGTGATGACTTATAACCAAGGGCCCAAGGTTGAGGATAGAACTGAAGTTAGTCCAATGGTAGTACTATAAACATAACAGGAGCGCCCTTCCCTGGTGAATCCATGTACCACTTTGAACCATCTCGGGGACTGAGCGGAGTCCAGAAGTTTCATATGAGCTAACAACTCCTTCCAACCAAGTGTCTCCATGCACAAGGTCTGCTAGTCTCATCCAATGATTTTCAATCCCAATATTTAAAACATCAGCGAATGCCATTCAGTTACAGAACCAAGCAGTTGGGATTGGGTGAATGTAGCCGGCCTTACATAATCAGCCCCGTTATGTGGTTAGGGAAATATGTTATAACGAGCAGCGCCGTTTCTCTATCAAAGAAGAAAAAAACAAATTTGACAAGTTCTATTCAGAAGACCACAACCAGGCTTTTTTCACGCTAGGATACATAGTTGTCGAGTCATATGTACTATTCTCTCAGCTCAGCACCCACTCCAGCTATGTTCCCTATTATTTGCTCAGCAAGAACGAACCTCACAAGCCACTCTCTTTTTCAGACTGGCAGTTGCGTCACTTCCCATTCATATACAGTGTCGCATTCTGACCTTACTGTACATATTCTACATTCCAACTAGAGTCCGACTGACTCGCATAACCAAAACCAAACCTTTTTCATACCTGTACGCCGGTCTCAACTTATGTGATCCAAGAACATCTAATAGATTGTTCTGGAAATAAACAGGAACTTCGTAGTCGTTCAGCATGTCACTTGTAGCTACTCGCTGAAGAGAAGTGAATTCTATATATCTTGTTGGCAAAGTGTCTTAGCAAGTAACGTACTCCTAGATATAAGTGATCTACGCTCTACCTGATAACATAATCGTAGGTGAACTCTCCTTCATCTGCATGCAGCTATTATGAACGTTAAAAATGTCAGTATTCAAGACTGCCCTGTGAAAGGCATCGATAAGGTATTGCCGCTTCCCCGTTTTTGGGACATTTTGTGAACATTTCGCTGACCGACATGATCATCGAAGGGATCGAATTTTCTGGAGTTGTAAAAGCGACACTGGATCCCATAAGGCTGTCGTCTGCTCCTGAATTCCGCTCCACAACGCGTGTCTGTTTGTTTGTCTATTTATGTTACCATGAGGGTTTGCTTATTCGAGTGCACTTTCGTCATCAAATTAGTGATAACGATCAGATACGCCATAGGATCGAAACGAGGGAAGCATTTGATAAAATGTCAAATTAACAAGGAGGTATGGTTGTCTCTACCAAACTCTTTCTAAAATCAAGGACATCTCCTTAATTTGATAACAAAAAAAAATGGCTTTAGGGCAGCAGAGACTAGGGGGTACTTTCAACGCTCAGTAGGTTTCACAGGAAAGAACTGAGGAGAGTCGCCTTCATATACGACTGAGCATGCTCGGGTAAGATCACACGTGACAATCAGATCATAGTTGAGAGACAGCTTTTTGGCAAGTGGTCAGTCTTCTTTGGTATGCGCATTCACCTTCTGTGAAAGGATTGAAGACGTAGTTGGTTTGGGCGGATCTCAGATCCATGCGTACGCCACTGCGCTACTTGCCGGGAGGTATCAGAGACCTTGTCGCTGCATTAAAATTGCGAGATAGTTTACGCTGACTTATTTCATCAGACCGACTGCGTGTCCTTCTGAGAGGGCAATTCTGTATTTTCGAACTCTACAAACATTAATACCTCTCCAAATTGCCCGTCAAATATGTACAGTGGACTATCGTCTTTGGTTTTGCTCATGTACTCAGCATAGTACTTCATCTTCAGAAGAACAGGTTTAGAATTGGAGTTTTCACCGCATTTGAACATAGCATTGCCATATTTTTGCAGAAGGTTCTGAAAAATAATGTGAATGGCATGTGAAAACCATCTGACTAAGAACGTCAAGGAAGTTCACATCGATTTTCCAATTGTTGTGGGCTTTCCATGATTTTGTTAGACCAGTGATCATGCAGGGTACACGCGGTTGCTCATACGTTTCACGGAATTCTTCAACAGTTAGTGTGCTGCAATCCACTCTCGGCATCTTGTCCTCTAGTGGTGGCAGAGTGAACTTTTTTGCAAGGTTGAGGCGACTCCAACCGGGTTTGATCAGCTCTGAATACCGATTTATCTAAAGATCTCGCGAACTATGTGCTCACTCGGATGTGGTTAAGATATTGCATACATTTGTGCATACCAGGCCGATCCTTTCTTTTCGCATCTGATATTCTTCGCTCATATCGTGAATAGTAGATTCTTCTGAAGGCATCAACGACTGAATCCTATAAATAATCGAGGTTTTCACGACGTCTATGTAAGAAACTATTTGGCAAACGTGAAAGTGACGAAGCATCCATATTTAGTGTCATGGGATGGATATCAAGGTAAGCTAATTTTCCTGATACAAAAAGAATTCCGAGAATTCCAGAATGTATTTCATATTCTCAGCATGACACAACCATAATATCAGAGGAATATAGTTCCTAGCCTTTTCCCAGCCTTCAATCGTGGAGTCACATGGTCTTCCAATATTTTCTTCCCCAGCTTCCTTTTATCTACTTGGTTTAGGTGAATCCTTCTCACGACTTTCACGTTTACATTGAGGTTCTCGTTCCTGACCTCCGACGCCCATCGACTTTTTATGAGATGCCCATACAGGTGCTGCTCTCAAAGTTCTAGCCCAACGGACGCTGTCTGCATGACCACCACGAAATTCTAGTTTCCGACGCCGTTAGTTGACCTCGAACCGTGGTACACATCCTTGGAATATCTTTCGATCGCATAAAACTCCTGCTGACTACACATCTCGTCCATGACGCGTATACACCATCTTACGTGCATATATACACAGCCTGATCCACGCTACCGTCAGCGTCTAGACTACTGCCAGCTATTGGAAAACCTTAACACATCCGATGGTTTCCAAGGTTGTCTACAATGCCTACAAATTCAGTATCTTCAATTCCAGTTTATTCTTTGCTAGCACGCACTGCCGTTCTTCCAGCTACTCATGTGGGTAATAAACCGCACCAGCAGAACATACTCAAACAGTCCATAACTTTTGTCGCAAAAAAATAAACTGAGTTATGTCAAGCAGTGATCACGTTTTAGTCGTTTTAGTCGCGAATTTCATCTTGATCTGTCTGCCTCATAGATAGGCTTGAAGACCAGAACACGTCTCTCGGCACTGCATACCAGATAACCAACCAGAGAATATGCTGTGTTTTAGCACTTCCATGCACCTTCTCATTTGATGAAAAATGAGCTCAAATGATGGTTTTTTTTTTCGTGAACTCTCCTAAAGTACACCATGTTCTGGCCTCATGCCCGGGTGGTTACGGGTGTGACGATTCAGCCTAATCTTATGGTTACAAACTTTTAGGTGAGTTCTTTCAGGAGTACGAACGGCACAGTTTGTCAAAACGAGTTTCCTTAAACCTGAAGAACCATTGTCATAGATTTTCAAAGTTATCCTATCGTATTTTATTGCATTCTTTGTCAACTGAAACGCTTCAGATCAGCGGCAAATTTCAGAGGAAGAGCATTCGAACCCAAGTTGGATATCGTTGTTTAATCGTTGTCATGTCCTGATTAATCTACATATATGCTCACCTTGAATATAAGAAAGAGCCCAGCAAAATCCTTGAAGAACGCAGACGAAATTAGATATGACCACATATGAACATCGGGAAATGCTGGATCTGGCGACTCCATCTTGAACTCTAAACCTCACTTTCGCAACAATACCTACCTCGATATCCTATCAATGTTATCTTGATTACGTCACCCCATCATGTTCTTACGAAAACGCGATAAATGACCAAAGAATAGTTTGAGCTCAGCATTTGTGATTTTCCGAATGATTCTACTATATATACCTTGGAGTGTCTCTTGGTTTTGTGTGTGTGTGTGTGTGTGTGTGTGTATGTATGTATGTATGTATGTATGTATGTATGTATGTATGTATGTGTGTGTGTGTGTTTGGGGGTGGGTGTGGGGGTTTGGGGGTGGGTGTGGGGGTTTGGGGGTGGGTGTGGGTGTGGATGTGGGTGTGGGTGTGGGTGGAAACTGATATCCTTCTTCTGTTACCTTGAGCCCAGTGCGTTCAAATTCGATAGTGATGCGGGTCGCAGATCAAGAACACTGGTGCCATATAGCAGAAACTGGGGTCCGGGAACTTCTCCCCTGACACGGCGCACCTGCCGCCTATCGCAGGATTGCGATGGAAGATTGGAGCGCGCAATTTGTGAGGTAGGAAGCCCTTTAATTATTTGGATTGGCTGGCCGCTCTTTTCAATTCCAATGCGGACTTGATCGTCGTTTATATAGGAGGAGTCATTTCAATCAATCAAGTCTAATTAGCATGAAAACTAAAAAGAAACAGGAGAAAAAACGATAAAATCCAATGAAAAAGCAAGTCAATCAAGGAAAAATATCGCGTCCTATCGATCGGCCGGAGGCGGGGTGAGTACGGTAATTGCACTGACAATGCCGCATGCCGCAAGGGAGAATGCCGCAATCGGGGAGAAATTCCGTTACCCGCAGAAACTGTATCCCGCCCGCAGGGGCTTGGTACGAGTAAAATGAGTGTTTCGACCAGAAATCCATGAACCCTGTCCCCTTACAATATCCCACGTCCGACTCTCGATTAATCTCGGCATAATGAACCCCTTAGATGAGAATCACATGATGGACAGTTCCCTGATGAAATAGACCACATTATCTTTAACTGAAGATTTTGCCTGAATGATGTCGCTGTTGTTCCGAATCTCCACGGATTAGAAGATCGTCTCCTCCGCGCTGGACTCCATTTCAGTTCGTGGAGGGGAGAAGCGATGTTTAGGAGACCTAGCTACGAGACATTTATCTTCTGGAATCACTTCGCTTCCTTCGCGAGTTCTGTGAAGGTTTCGTTTTTGACAACAATGATCGATGAAGGAAACAGCGGTCCATAGAAAATTCTCACGATACAAGCAGCCAATAGCCTTTCTTTGAAAACTCTTGAGCTGATATGGCAGTGTACAATCAAGCGAGCCATAGGCAATTATCAACAAAGGTCCGGACAAGCGAAGTTATGCAGAGAAGCGATCGATAAAGAAATTTCTGAAGGAGCAGTACGTGGTTGATTACACTCGCTACCCTCCATATCTCCCTTGGCTATCCATGACTGATTCTTCCAGTCCCTTCGCAAGTTACAATTCTGATGAGGAACTAACTTGTAAGCAAAGGAACACATCAATTTGAGGTAATCGTAGCAACCGAATGTGAGTTCATTACGCACTTGAAAGCCCCTAAGACATTACAGGACAACTGAATTTAAGCCTATGTAACAATTATTAATGACTTGTTGTATATCTCACTTGTAAGCCAATGCTAAGAAAGCTGTTCCAAGCACTTTCAACATAATCCTTACTTTATATAAAGCGCTCGCGTCTGCCTGTCCGTCTGTCTGTCTGTTTGTACAGAAATTCATAAGTGCTGTCCCCTTGGGTCTAGAACGTTCAAATTTGGTAGGAGCACAGGCGGCAGGATGGGAACACATATGGTGGGTGGCAGGACCGGACTCGGCCCACAGTGGGCAGGGTTTGTGCGAAACAGATGTTTGTGTGGAAAATAATAGCTCCTGTCCCAGTGGACCTAGAAAATTCGAATTTGGTAAGAGTACCCGAGGCAGGGTGGGAACACTAATGATGGGTGGCAGGATCGGGCCACAGAGGGCGGGGTGTGCGTCAAAATTGTCAATTTGGCCCTAGGGCGTTCAAACTTGACAGGAGTATAGGCGGCAGGATGGGCACACTTATGGTAGGTAGAAGGAGCGGACCCCGCCTTTAGAAGGCGAGTTGTGCGCGAATTGGTCCAATCACCATTTGAACTCTAACTCCTTTGTTATTTACGATTTAGCTGTGATTCTTTGATATGTTTCTTTCGACAGAAAGGGTAAGTGCACTGATAGGGACCGATTATGAAATTTGGTTCACTCCTTGCTCACGACCGCTACCCAGCGAAGTTTGCGATTCAATAAAGGATCACGGTTTCCCTGTGCCTTGATACCATTCGTGACAAAACTTATCCGACCGCTAACAATCTTGGATTCTCACTTAGTGATGTATTAGTAGGTAAAAGGAGCTACATTCATAAAGACATTTGATAATGGTATTATTATGACTCGGTAACATTTGTGAGAACCATTCAAGGGTTTGGATGCCCAACAGTTAAGTCTTCCATAGGTCATTATTTCCAACATCAACAGCGACAGATCGAGACAGACAGATTTTAATCAAAGGCATAGGCATCGGCTTGCATGCCCTATTGTTCCTCTATCGTACATCCTGTTCCGAAAAGAATCATTCGTTCCAAAGCAGGAGTGTGCTATTTGCCGTCTATCAGAACTCTATCATAAGAAGGTAGGAAGCCTGGCGTTAGCCGGGTGGTCCGACTTTCTCTATATATGAAGCGGTGATTTTGTGTGTCTGTTTGTGGGTCGGTTTGTGCGTCCTTCCGAAAGTCACGACGAATAGTAGTGAGAATGTCAAGTGAGCGCGGTGAGGAAACAGTTATGAAATGGGAAGTCAACCGATACTGTTCATATTGGTCCTCTAACAATTCGTAGGTAAGCGGTATGGGCATGTGGTGCACGCAGTAGCGTTCGTAGTCGAACTGGTAAGTTCATAATCTAGTATGAGTAGAATTGAATGAAAAGATTTTTTAGAATTTGTGTTATCACAGGTTACGGATTACTTTCCATTACACGTGCTTTCACGTCAGGCTTCAAACTTATCTTGAAATGGACATTTCGAAGTGATATGGCATGATATCTTAGCCCAAAGTTCATACATCATTCATGGAAGCTTCGGCTCCGGTAGCCTCTGATACTTGGTCGTATCTGAAGTCAACGAAAGTCTTCAGTGATTTGATCGAAGTCGCACAAAGCATCAAGGTAAGCATTTCGGTGTTTCACTCTATCGACCACTCGCGAAACAGATCTCTCATAATAATTGTTGAGATTGTGAACACAGTAATAATCTTAAAAAACAGAGTTACTCTCGAGTCATTTTAGCGTTCTTCTGATGTAATCTTCGGATATGAAAGGAAAATACTAAAAAACGAAACTGGAGAGTTCTCGTAGTGCTTCCTTTGCCATTATGAATTTAGTGCTGCTGCCTGTTCAGAAATTGACCAGTAGAAAATCATGCTGGCGAAAAGTTTGGCGTGAAATCCTAGAGCGAATTATCTTAGGCATCCGGTTTCATGGTTTATCGGAATCTGTTTCCAAACATTATCAAACTTTTAAATAATTATCAGAAAAGCCGATGATTCCCTTGAAAGCCTGAGTCCCTTGGCCTACCTGTTTCTAGCACTTTCCCAAACATTCGCTTCATCAAAACACGCCAGAATCTCTGGAGAATTGGATGCAGAAGCTCACAAGGACCGGCAAGCGCGATGAGGTGAGTGTGAGCGCGATGGGGTGAGCCATGTATGAAACGACCACCCTCTGTGAACGCTGCCAATCGACCATCTTCTCCTTGACCTGACCATCGAGGCTTGAGGAGCTTTTGACTGCGCAGACTCGTAGTCAGAATTTTTTGCAGGCATTCCTAGACCACTGAAGCTACCTATCAAGCAAAAACGACCGGAAGTTTAATTTTCTGTGATGATGCGTATCACCTTCACTGCGGGGGTCTACATGACCGATGATCACTTCTTCTTCCTTGTTGCACAATAAATCACTTCCCCCGAGATGGAGTTTCAATAGTGCATCATTTACACGGATGTTTGCTTGCCAGCATATTGGAACTGCTGGAACAGAGCCTCTCGCTTACTACCACAGGACGATCGTATCAGCACGTTTCTTTCTCGAAATCCAGATTCAGAGGCAAGCTGTCACAGTGGGCAAGACTCCTATTAACAAGAATATGATATCAACCATTGGCTATGAAATTGGTTTCTCTGCTTGAACTCAACTACAGCAAGCAGGGAAACTGTTCACTTGCTGCACTCTCTTCCAAAAGATCATAGTGCAGTATGGTGCTAGGGTATTGGTGAACCTTTCTGACAACAGTGATGGAAATGGGCACTGGACCCTCTAGAGAGAAAAGTGTATTTCGTTCCGGTGAGCATCTACCCTCGCATCAAACTTCCACAAAATTTATGGGATTCTTCACAACTGCGAATGCCGTCTTCGTAACGTCCACGACAGAGGTTCAACAGCATGACTAGCATACCTCCATGAAGTAACCAAAAAGTTGAAAGTTCTGAAAGTTCCGGAAGTTATCGTACTACAATAAATCAGGTAAAAGGCTTCGTAGGGGTTACTTATTCACTGTTGTTTTCTAGGATATTGTATATGAAACTGGATACAGGATGTTCTACACCACATGCGAACGCCGAGTTGCAGCGGTCCAGAATAAAGACCGTCCTGGTCCGTTAAATTCTCTGTTTCGCTACAAATAATTTTCTCACTTACCCAGTGGCCTTTAGAGCTCGAAAAAATTGGTTGGGACTCCTTGAACTATGCGAGAACATTCAAGCTACCTCCTCTCGAAGACAAGATGATCAGAGTGGATGGAAAAACTGTTACAGCAGAAGAGTTTCGAGAAAAGTACGAACGCCCACGGGTTCCTTGTGTGATAACTGGTCTCACGGACAAATGGGAGGCTCGTCAGAATTGGACCTTTCAGGTAATTTATTGCTACGTCGGAAAACACCAAGGAGTTCTACACCCATCATTGGGTTGTGCTTAAATTCGGAAAGAGTATGAATAGTCAGTAAAGGCATGTCGGACACATCTTTTGTGTGCTCCTACTGAGTTATTCGAAGAGCTGCTTCCGTTTAAGATGGTGAAGAATAGTTAACTGGGCAAGTTTGTTGGAAGACTGCTCGTTTAGCATTCTGGAGGTCCGAATCAAGGGCTTAGTGTCAAAAGCACTTGTTCTCTACCATCGAAGTCACAGAAATACAATTCTGGGCTTCCCCGGAATGCTATTAGATTCGATTGATGAGGGTGAGGGTAATTTCAGCACCATGTTGCCTTACGTGAGACCAGCCTGCTGTTAGATAAACGGACCCGGAAGTGATATTATGGTTTCGCATCCTCACTACTGAAGCTTCATGTTATGCAAGCTCTGCCCCCTCTTAGAATGAACCTCACTTTCTTATTTGAGTTTCTTCTCTTTCAGAAGTTAACGAGAGAATACGGCAATTCATATTTCAAGTGTGCTGAACATAGGAAGGGACGACCTGTCTTCTTGAAATTCAAGTATTTTGCGGAGTACATGAGAGAAAATGAGGATGACAGCCCATTGTACATAGTCGATGATTTTCATGGAGAGGTTCTTCTTGCCTGAACTATGGAATTCAGATGGATTCTGTTGAAAGCTCAAGTAATAGATCATATAGATTTCAGGACAGATCAGCGAAAGAAATGTTGAAAGATTACGAGGTACCTCCGTACTTCAGCGATGATCTGCTGAACATTCTTGGAGAAGATGTTAAACGACTGCGGCACAGGTAACTTCAAAGTTGAAAGTCTCCGACTGCCGATTACTCTTGCGATAAACTTTCTGCGCTCAGAATTTCGGGCGTGATCCCGTAGCCTCTCTCAGTTTTTTCATGTTTACGTTGTCTTCTGGTTTTCAGTTTAGCAAGGCCTGATTAGAAAGTGGCACCTCATTCAGTTTGTTTCTAATGCGATTGGAATATTGAATCCATTACCCAAGAAGGAACCGCGTTGCCCGTCTTCCTGTAAGCAGTGCTCGGCCACTTCACGTGGATCCCCCTACGTTCAGGGGCCCAGCTATATTCCAGCCGCTTTCAACTTTTAGGTGGCATAGAACTTAAGCAAATATCTATAGCAAAGGCATAGTGCGTAATACTCACTCAAAGACTGGTATCTGCGCGAATTTCCAAATCACGGATGAACGATACAAGATAGTCCTTTGAAAGTAGGGTAAAAGAAAATTCGGGATTTCTTTCAGGTGGGTCGCAATTGGACCGGCTCGTTCTGGTACGACCATTCATGTTAATCCTCTTAACACAAGCTCATGGACTTCTCTGATTTATGGTCACAAAAGGTAAGCTTTCGGAAACTCATGAATTTTGTGAACCAAGGTGCACTAGTAAAACTTTCATGGTTGAAGTTGAACTTCGAATCACTAGTAAGAAAAAAATCTCCTTAAGAAAGCATCTGTCCATATGCTACACGTTGCACGTCCATGTCCAACACGTTGCACGTCCTTCAAAATGATACTTTACAAGCGTAATCTAAATATTACTGTTTAACGTCATGGAAGGCGGAGAATCCTTGAATCATTCCGTGCTCATTCTTGTTCAAAGGCACAGTTCTCGGTAATTTTGAGGTACAATTTTTAGCTGAAAAATGTTAGCGTTGGTTGAGAACAGTGCATCGGTAGTGAAGAAAGCAAAAAAATCCCCGAGTCTGTGAAAAATAAGGCTCCTAGAAGCTAGGGAAAATAGAAATTGGACGTTGACTGGAATAACATGGATTGGGTATTTAGACGAGATCAGTTGTTGCAATTGCGCAAAGAGCTGAATACACCAAGCCAAAACTGTCGCGAATAGCTTTTACTGCCGCTATGGGTCATGAGAAGTTGTTTAATTTTCTATGATTTGCGGAAAAGTCTTTCCACATTCTCGTTTTCATGTTGTAAAAACCTTTGGGGATTGCTTCGAAGCGCTCATTGCGAAACATGTGTAAGTGCAGGTCAATGCACTCTTCATACCGTATCTGCCGTAGCCCCTCGCAACGGTTATGGCTGCAAGAACCGCTCTCGGCTCAAAGCATGTTAAACAGCTTCTCCTTTATAAGTTCGGAGAGAACGTTAATCCAAATTAAGCGACAGGGGAAAGTGCGATGCGATAGGATCCTCCATCCTCTCTCACAACACAACAAGAAATTTGTACCACAGTTCAAAAATAGCCTCTTTGACTAGAACCAAGAACCATGATCTGGGAGACCAGTTGACCTGAATGACTGGTTGGAGAGGATTCCAGGTGTAGTACCCGCGAATTAAAATTGGAGCTCAATGGCCATCAAGACATAGTAGTTGCCCATTTGTGTAACCTTGGAAACACATGAAGATATGGAGAGATGGGTAAGCAGTGAGCTGGCTCGTAACCACCTCCAAACGAGTGGAGATTCATGCCTGAACTTGTTGACATTTCGGCTCACCTACTTATGACTGGAAGACTTAATCACATGCGGCGAGAATTATGCTCTCTAAGTAAACCTTACAAGAAAGCGCCAGTGGCCCGGACGCGTAGAGCATGGAGTCCCGACCCGCAAACCAGAACTCCAACCTCGGAAGGCAATCCTTAGCGTTTGGAGCAATTCGGAAGGTTCTTTCGCTGGGAATTGCTGCCACCAAACTTCACTTTCAGCACCAAAGCCTTGTGTACTCTGTGAACCTTACTGCTGCAGATCTACGAGAGAAACAGAGAAAAGTCTAATTTCTTCACATGCCATCCCGAGCTTTGAAGTTTCTTCTGGGCCTCCTTTGAAATGTGCGGGCTGTGCTCGCCCGCACATTTCAAAGGAGGCCTAGAAGAAACTTCAAAGCTTGGGATGGCATGTTCTGGCCCACCCACCGTATTCTGCAGACCTGGCTCTAACGGAATATCGCCTGCTGCTGACATACCATCTGAAAAATAAGAAGTTCGATGATGTGAATCAACTCGAGACGTGCATCGGCGAGTTTTTCTCCTCGAAACAATCTTCGAGCTATGGTGCCCTATCTAGGGCATTTGCCGACATGATAGCGTCGCATATGGTATACTGGGAAGCCACAGATTCATCTTAGCGAGATATCTCATGAACCGTTTTTATCGCGCACTGTCCTTTGTAAAATAGTGGAAGTTTCCGTGCCACATAGTGCAAAAATGACGAAGATAGCACAAAAATTTGCGGATTATAGAACATATGTATGAGGTTTACGGTCTCAATAAATAGGATGGGAACAAGGGAAAAGGGGGAGGAGAATTATACCACCCGTTCAAAGAAATACGATTTTTCTAGATGGGTTCTTATTCATCCTGACACTGCAAAAGAGCTTGTGTACGTACCGAAAGATCAACGTGGCATTCATCCTCAAGAAGCTATCACATGGTTTTCAACGGTTTATAAACGTATACGTCAAGGAGACTGGCCTTTTGACAAGTATCCTGTATTGGAGTGTAGACAGAGGCCAGGAGAAACTGTGTTTGTACCCTACGGTATGTTTCTTATGTACTGTGCACACCTAACAAACATCGACAGCTGTCAAGAAGGGGGATAGGATATTAAACCAACGTTGTTCAAATGCTCTGAGCTCTCTGCCATTACAGCAGACAAACTCTAAGGAAACCCATGAGTGTGTTGTGACCTACAAGTTTTTGGTCATAGTCTTCGTCTTTCGATTATGTAAGCTAGGCTCAAACTTGTGCGACAATGTATTACTACAAGTACATAGAGGTGAAATTTTATGGTGAGACATTGCTAGAACATCGGTACATGAAAAATCAACTATTATGAACAATCACCATCGACACCGGTGCTGCTAGACCTCCGACAATGTTGAATATCAAAATATGTCTCACACATGACAGGTTGGTGGAATGCGGAAATAAATGAAGATGAAACGTTCGCAGTCAGACACAATTTTTGTTCACCGATCAATCTTCCACAAGTTTATCCAGCACTTCGAAGGCAAAACCCGAATCTGGCACGAATTTTTCTAGAAAGGTGAGACTTGGTGATTTTCGGAAAGATTCGAATAATGAAGGGGATAGAGGCTTCTGTCGTTAATCAGTCCAGTTTCTTGGAGGCGCAAGTTTCAATCAATGCCGTTTCTGGTATTTAAAGGTTTGACCTGCCTGGATGGGAAAGATCTCGAATTCGTTCCCCGGACCATGCATATGATAGATTACGCCACTTGCTCTACGCTCGAAGATCTTAAGGGAACGGAAGCGGGATAGACTGCAAGCCCCTTTTCAAAGCTTATTAACTGTCATTCGATTCAANTTACAACTTCTTAGAGTAACTATTTGTGGCATTATGAGCTCATTCTTTTCTATCCTTTTATTAGTATGAGTGGAAGAATAGTGCAAAAACGTGTCATCAGGCTGAATGAAATGCGACCGGAATTGCATACCATTGTGTATCAAACAGTGCTGGACTCGGCACCCTTTGAGGGTGAGACAAACAAATCTGGGACTGGGCAGAACGAAGATGACGACTCGACTTCGTATACTAGCACTACTGATTTGTCGGCTTCCGAGAGGTACTGTCGTAATTCCGATCATTGTGTTTAGCTTTTGGATATTTCATAGGCAGTTCCGAGGTATGTACTGCCGAGTACAAGCATCTGGCAGGCCTTTTGTTCGTCAAAGAGTGAATCATATGTTTAAACCAATCGCTCTTTTTGTTTGGAGCATGCTGTTGGTCCGTAATGTAGTATCCTCACTGATGCATATAATTTGTTCTATGTGTGTTCTATGTGTGCTTGTGTGTTTATGCGTGGTCAGGAATCTGTAAGCCTCATTTTTCTGAATCTAGAGAAAATTCGGAAGAGACCTAGTGTACGGAATGTGGAATTTGATGGGGGTAACAGGGTATGATAGTAGCCGATAGTGCGAGAGGAGGAATTGCAGAGCGGTAGTGCCCTAGACTAAGTGACTATTAAGTGTAAGATAGGATATTGATGTAACGATAAACAATGGCAAGAATGGGGAGAAATTTATACAAATGCCGAAGTCAAATGGGAAATTTGGGAAGTTATTCACACCTTCGGTTGACTAAACATGTTTCTAAGCTACGGAGGTTTCGTTGTGGGGGTACGACTCCAAAAAAACTGAATCCCCAGCAGTTGTTGTTCTTGAAGATAAGGAACTACATACCACATGAAGAAGTTATAGGCGTCTGAATTATGTTACTAACTCTGACATACTGACCCCTGGAATGCCCTTTGGAGCCGGGCTCCATTATTTCTGTATCAGACTTCAAAGTCACGCTTTAAATCGGGCTTTCCATATGAGTTTGAAAATGCTGGAATGTTTGATCAATAGTTCGAACGTGGATGCTTTTGTTAGCAGTGTATGCCAAATTTCCCACACAAATCCCGGAAGATCTGATCAGGCGGATGGAGGTTTCCATGCAATCGTATGAAAAAACACGCTTACCGCGCTCTCTCCACTAATGGCTTTCTGATCTTCAGGTAACAGCATTTCGAACTCCCACTTCCACAGGCGGTAAACCGCAACAGTAACATACTCAATCCAAAAACTCGTCGTTACCACTATCTTGACTCTGACTATCTTGACTCTGAACGGTTCTCAATGGGGTTCTGTTCAATACAAAGAAAGTCAGAAGCGAATTCTATCTGAACCTTTCTTTTCGAACAGGATAATCATCTTGTCGTTCGCTTATTGTTAGAGATTTTCGTCTTCGTCATTTTTCTTTCATGAATTGTGGTGGAATTTTAGCGAGAGTGACTCATCAGATGAGGAGGAAGAAGAGGAAGATGAAAGCAGTGAAGATGAAGATGTGAAGAATGATAAGAAACTCATAAAAGCCCAACCAAGCAGTGGTAGAGGCGACCAAAAGGCTGACTCCGACGAGGATACGGATTCGCGAGATGAAAGCTCGAGTGAGATAGATTCAGAGGAAGACGATGAAAGCGAGGAATCCTCTGAATGTGATGATATTTTCAGGAAACCAATCAGGTGACAATCTTGTTCTAGCCCTCTGCGTATTATCTCTCTTGAAGTTTTTTAGTTGTTTTTACAGAATGGAATCTCCAATTCGTTCCCCTCCTACTGGGGTGAAGCGTCGAGCAGTTGCCGCTCGAGTGAATATACCTGCTCGATACGGAGAATCGGATGCATAACTCTAGGAAGTTTTTAAGCGTTTGCTGTGAATCTCTAACATCTGTTGTACATGTTCTCTTGTAAGTGTTAAATAATTATGTTACTTGTTCACAGTTTGAGCTCGCACAGTATCGGACCCCAATCACACTGTTTTACATACGCTTGGGAACTCTCAGCCGTGAATGCTTCTCTCAATTGCTTGGCTATCCTAATTTATATAATTCGCTAATCTGTGTGTTTGTGTTTGTGTCGGTGTGTGTGTCCGACNGGAAATTCATAACTCCTGTCCCCGTGGACCTTGAGCGTTCAAACTTGGTAGGAGTAAGGGGGGAAGGTCGGTAGAACTTATGACGGGCAACAGGACCGGACTCTGCTCGCAGGGTGCGAGACGTGCGTGATACGAAATTTGAGCCGCGAATTCAGGACTCCTGTTTACGTGGACCTAGGGTATTCAAATTTGGTAGAATTACACTTTTCGTATTAACAGTGGAACCTCAGCTTTCGAGTAAGTGATGTAGGATATGATGGGATCATATTTATTCAGTGCAGAAATATCTGATAAGAGAAGATAAGGGGCCTAGGAGAAGCCACTGACCGATCAAAATCCTAACATCTTCGGTATTTACGAAGTAGCTTTGACCATTCAGTGCGTTTCATTCTATAAGACGGGGTGCCAAAGTAGGTGACAAAAGTGAGGGGAAAGTGCAGTGATAGGTACCCATCAGCCGCAATACGATGAGCAGATGAGAACTTGGTTCATTCCTTGCTATTAGACTACGACTACCCACCACGGTTTGCGACTTGATGAAGGATCTTCTTTGTTCAATATCATTTGAATGAAACTTGACCAACCGCCAGTAATTTTGAATTCTCAATTAATGATATCCCTTTAAAGAGAAGGGTCTATTGAATACGACATCTGATAATGGTGTTATCATCACTCGAAACACTTTTGAATACCTCCCAAGGCTTTGGCTGTCTAACACTTGAATTTTTTGTGGGTATTTATTTCTAAGAAAGAGAACAGAAGATCGACACTTCCAATCAAAGGTGTAAGCACCAACTCCAACTGAATACCATTTGCACTGCCCTGTTAGTCCTGTGTCAAAGTTCGTGTACAAGAAACTATTATCTGTTCTAGACAAGTACTGGAAAGTCAGCCGATTACTACATCTTTGTCAAAGAAGGAGGGAAGCCCGGCGTTAGCCTGGCGAACCGACTGGTCTACAGCATACGTCAGCTGCAGGTAGTTGTACTTATACACGTAGATGTCAGTAGTTACATCCACTAGAAAAAAGTGGCACGGAAAGGCAAACAATGTGAGTGATTGAAAAATAAGGCTTTGCAAAAGAAGTAAAATTAGGTGTCGGATGAGAATGAGGCGAAAGAAGTCCCATGGAAATGGTACTTGGACGAACTGTTTAGTTGTGCGCCCCATTGCATACAGCTGGCTGTATTAAGCTGCTTGCGAAGTGTGGGTCCTGAAGGGAATGAGGTTACCTTTGCAGCTTTCACAACTCTTGAGAGCTCGTTCCCTTTGGTATGAACATTGGCTCTGCCGGTTGTGGTCCTCCTATTACGTCCTATCTTGGCAGTAGATCCTGTGGGAGGTCCAGTATCTTCTCTAAAACCACCGCGTCGCGCTTGCCGCATCCAACATCGCAGAAATGCGACGGAAAATGGAAGCGCGCAAACTGTGAATCAGGGTGTCCTTTGATTACTTACAGTTGCTGGCCATTTTCTTCAATTGCAGTGTGGTCTTGATCGTCGATACGAGAGAAGGAGATGCTCCGAACAATTGTGTCTAATAAAAAAGAATCAGAAAGAAACAATCAAAACCAATCAAAAAAGGATTGCAGTCGACGAAAAACATAGTGTACTATCGATTGGCCTGGAGGGGAGCTGACTACAGTAACTGCAGTTTAAACTAAACAGTAAAGAGATTTGCCGCATGCCGCAAAGCGAACGTGAGAATACGGGGAGTAGCTCCGTCATCTAACTTTGGAGGTCACAGGTTCATCTAGGGCAGAAGTCTCAGAAACTATGGGTAACACGAATTGTGCCCTTTCTTGGGAATCATCTTCGTGGAGGCATCTTGGATCAAGAACACACTTGAGTGGTCAGGGTTTGCTTCAATGAGTCATAGATGAAGAAGGCGGGGTCGGTCCATTACGAGGCCAATGGCTCATAGAAACCTTATTGCTTTACCGGAAAAAGGGTCCTCGTTTCCCAGATATACTCGGTGAATCATGGTAGGATCTAACACCCCCTATCCATTGAAGCTAGAGGTTGCTGAACCACTTATATATCGATATGGCTTTGTTATCCTGCAGCGCGGGCATGTAAATCTGACGTTGAAAAGCTAACCCTTAAAGCGTTAGTGAACAGTTGTGTTGCAACATCTCACGGAGAAGAGTTATCAAGAAAAATGGTCCCCTTGTTTGGCGCCAATTTAGCCTTGCGATCGAACAAATTCTAATATGATAATTTTTATTCGATTTCATTTATTAATTCAACGAGAACACTTCATACATATGGATGATACAACAATTGATTTTGTACCTAATGAATGTCGAATGAAGGCACTTTCCAAATTAAGCGTAAACACCTAAACGTGCTACAATGCATGGGTGACCAGACATCAATTCTCTGAACATTATCAGAAAAGTGAAGAAAACGTAACGCGTTGTATAAGAAACTGATCACATTCTATTTATTACACATTTACGCACCTGACCCGTCCTATAGCCTGAGAATTCGTAGTATTTCCTCTGAATTTCGTTCGCAAGGCAGTGCATCACGTTTTGGAGATCCGCCACTTTTTGCAAGAAAGCTTTATCAAAATTCCCAGATGGAGAGAATCCCCAAAACGTGGTATAATTCAAGTTCAATGCAAGCCTATAGCACTCCAACTTGAAATTTAGTCGAATGACGATAGTGCATCCTAAAGTGTGAGAAATGGCAACCAAAGGTTATTCCAGTTCCCAATTTCATTTGAACATTCAAACAAAATTCCCTACAAACAACTAGACATCTAGTCCTAATATTAGTGTCCTTGAGGGAATAGTATGTATCATTCAACTAATTGGAGCCAATGAGGCGTTCAGTTCATAAGCGATGTGCTCATGGGGAAATGGGAGATATGTATGTAATTGTGGGTGCTACATCAGACTTCAACTACAAAGCCATCGTAAGCATCAGGTGTTTCTCCTTTGAACTTCGGCTGTGTTGTCCTCGTATGCCATACCAGCACATCATGTTTCTGAAAATCGAGATGTGTTTTGCATTTCCGAAAACAATACTGTGCTGGATTTTGAAAAACGAACATGGATTGACTCTTTCATGACTCATATCAAAATGTAAGCAGAATACGCAGTTTAACATGGTTTTCTCCTTGAAACCTATTGAACTTGGTGCATATTCTTCCAAAATGGAATCGTTTTATCGAAGTTGGGCTTGCACATGGGTACGATAAGTAAAGCATAAAAAATTGGAATAAGTGAACCTTGTTAAATAATATGAAAAACGTAATAAAAGACAATAATTAAAAAGAAGTGATGGCTCGTTTCGTCTCTCACCAGTATGAACAAGCATACTTATGCAGCCCTTATTCGCTACGAACAGATTCATAGAACAAGGCTTCCCAACCAAGGTTCCACCCTCATACCCTCTCTGTTATTACAATGTATTTTGCCACTTATTGGAGTAGTGGTAGACGGATAGGAGGTTCGAAGCTGGATGAGTTTTTTCAAATGTTCTTAGTCCTTTAGTTAATTAAAAAACCTTGAGAGTCATTTCTTCATCGAGTCCAAAGGGCTCAATATCATCTTGAGAAAAACCCATATCCTCAAGGAAACATGGTTCCGGCGCTCCAAAGCCACTACGACATGATTTTCCAAAAACCGCTGTTGTGCTGAAATCAAGTCATTACCTTAATTGAACAGATTTGAATAGCTTTTTTTCGAACGAACTTCAGTATAAAGTTGAGATTTATTGCGAATCCTGCCATGTCAACAGCAAATTTTCGCTTAGGGCCCCACTTGACCTTGTACCCGACGACTGTTCCATTCATAACCTCAGGAGACTCCACTGGAGTTCCACCGGATAGTCCTGAAAGATTAAAAGAAAGTGAGAACAACAATAGTATGGGGAAGTGAGGACTTCTTACCAACGGCCCACATTCCGAGCTTTTTCACATTTCGTATATAGTCAGTGAATAAGCGAGTGTCATAGGCGTTATCATCATCACCGAAGTAAACCACACCCTCTTTGTACTTCTTCATTACTGAGGCAGTGTTATTTCTCAGCAGTTGCAACGCAGTTGTCCTCTGGTACCACCCACGCTCTGAATAAGGTTGATACATATCACTGAAACATAATGAGATTCAGTATCCAGTCTGGTGTTAAGGCATTCGAATGTGCATTAAGATTGTACAGTGAGTTCAGAGACTGACTGTTGTTCAATTCTGCGCATTTAACTCGTCTCTAGAAGAGTAGTCAAGTGGCGCACTATCTTGCACGCATGGGCACGGCTTTAATTCCCGGATCAATATCCGCCTGAGACAACAAGCCTTCAATTTCTTTGAGGTCGATTATGTGGTATCAGGCTTGTCTGAGAAGATAAAAGCATTGACTTGTGCATCGGCTTACCACCGCAATTCATTTTATGGGCTCATTCGTACACAATATCGTTCTGAAGCGGTAGATTGATCAAGTGCCATCACTTCGGGTGTGGTGCGTTAGGAACGAAATGGTTGCGACGCGGTAAGTGGGGCGTCGCGCGCGAAGGAATGTAGGAGGAGCAGCAGTAGGTAAGAAATACAAGAAAAAAAGTACTAATAGTAGAATTATATATAAAATAAGGATCGCATATCGATTGAGCTGTATGAAGAACGCTAGAGCTGTAATAACGGCGAATGAATGGTCCGCGACAGCCGCGTGCGACAAATCGATTACCCAAAATCGTTCCTAACGCCCGTCTCCCCCAGCAATTCTACTATGCTTATGCTTCTTCTTTACACAAAAAAGCCCATGGTACTTTTTGCATCAAGTCAAGAGCTTCACTGGAATTTACTCTTGAAGGTGAGTAAAAGAGCTCGATCGACGAGTCACAGAACAGAACCGCCCAGTAGTAGCAACCAGTTGGGCTACGCACGCCAATGCGTGCACCACATGCTTACGCTTAAAAGAGTCAATCGGTTGCTCTTCATCTCGAAAATTATGAACCATTAAAAGTTTAACTGATAGGCAACCGAAAAATTGGGAAGTGCACACTAATGTTCTCAAGTGATAGTAACACCATTATAAGATTTCGTTATCACTGGACCTTATTTCCTCTACGGGTACATCATTAGTTGAGAATCCCAAATTATTGGCGGTCGGATGAGCTTCGTCGTAAATGATATCAAAACATAAAGTGAACTTGAGCTTCCACTG